AGGAGGAGGCTGCAATGCTTGGTAAGAAATGTACGCATTATCCTGCCCATGTAATTGTAACCCCTCTGTACAGTATCTTCACAAATAAAATAAAATAAAAATAAAAATAATTAAAAATAGAAAAAAAGATGTGATTTCAGATTGTCAGATGGAATCTCAGTAGATGGCATGAAAAACTTTAATTGGAAAGAAAGTAGCACTGCTCTTTCACCTTAGGGGAACAAAGCAATGATGATGTCTTCTTGCAAGACTGGGACAAGCTCTGGATGATGGCCACCTCTGTACTCTGACAATTCTTCAGGCAATGTAGGAAAAGCCTGTCTATATTGCTGTTTTTAACACTTTTAGGAAATATAATCAAACTGGGTGTTGGTGGCTCACACCCAAAATCCTAGCTATTCAGTAGACTAAGATCTAAGGATCAAAATTCAAAGCCATCCCAGACAGGAAACTCTGTCAGTTTTATCTCCAATTAACTATCTACCCAGAAGTGGAGCTGTGGCTCAAGTGGTAGAGTGCTAGCCTTGGGCAAAAGAACTTCACAGACAGCGCCCAGACCCTATTCAAGCCTCAAGACTGGGAAGAAGGGCTGGGAAGGTGGCTCAGTGGTAGAGCGCTTGCCTTGCATGCCTGAGGCCCTGGGTTGGATTCCCCAGCACCACATAAGCAAAAGAGGTCAGGCCCCAAGACCAGACCCCAAAAAAAAAAAAAGACTGGGAAGAAGAAGGAGGAGGAGGAGGAGAGAAGGAGGAGAGGAGGAAGAGGAGGAGGAGGAGGAAAGAAAAAGAGGGAAAAATAAAAGATATACAATCTAATGTAGTTCACACCTCCAAGAGACCTTATTGTTTAAAATCTGTTCCTTCATTTCCAGAGGGACTGAGTTTCTTCTTGTAACTCAGTGTTGTGTATACAAACTAATGAAGAATAATGTTAATATTTCAGTGACATTTTAAAGAATGATGTTATATTTAAGTGACCTTTAAAGCTAAGAGTGTTGATTGTCCTATATCTTCTTTTCTCTGTCTCTATAAGGTTTAATTTTTAATATATTTTTATTGTAAAGATACTGTACAGAGGGGTTACAGTTACATGAGTAAGGTAATGAGTCCATTTCCTATGGAGCATTGTTACATCCTCCTTTGTTTTTCCCCTACCATCCTTCCCTCCCCACCTCCCCAACTCTTCCCCCCCCCCCGCAAAGTTGTAAAGTTTGTTTTCAACATAGTGTCTTGTACATATCATTGTTACAATTGGCCAACCTGTATCATTTTGATTGTCCTATGACTTCTAACACTAAGTTCCATTGAGAAGTAATGTCATTTCAACATAAATTACACATGCATGCTATTTAAAAGTAATGTATATTTTAATGATATCAAAAGTTAGAAGTTTTTAGAGAAAGGAGACCAGTGAGATCTTGTCCTCTTATCCTTTGCATACCACGTTGAGGAGACATAAATGCTTAAAATGCTAATGATATATTTATCCGTTACACCTCAAATCTCATTAGCAATGCAAGGAAAAATGATATTGAAAAATCAGAGAGTAGAAAATAAAACCATGGAACTTGAGGGGATGAATGGGCTGCAGAGAGATGAGGGAGAATAATGAATTAATAATAAATTAGTATATAAATAAAATATGAACTAGAAAGGAGCTGGTGGTACGGCTCAACTAGAAAAGTGTCTGCTTAGCAAGATGCAACACTCCACTACTATAAAATTTAACTAGGAAATAGTGTGATTTTTTTCCCAAATGTATAGCTACCCACACACTACCCAGGGAAAAAGAAACAAACTTGTTTTTCTGCCATGTAATTTCAAACGGTGCTAAGATGCCCTAATTCTACTGGGAATACAGCAATGGAGTCACTTCAAATTAAAGCTAATCAAATATGTAATTTTACATGTCCTGTATTAGGTAGCTCAAAATTAATGTAATTAACTTTGTCCTAAATTCAATGTGAGGATATTTGGCTTTTAATTTCAAATCAAGGCTGTAAAAGTTATGGAAAAATCTTCATGAGGTCTTTTGATGTTGAATACAAATATCAATATTATTTGCCTTCCCCTTCCCCTCCACAAATTATACCGACATCAAATACAGTGAAAGCAGGGGTTATACTGTGATTGTTTGCAAATAAGATGAATACATACACTTTTGACAGGAACACAATAGAGGTCACTATTTTCAATAAATACATTTTTCATGATTTCACTGGCTTTTAAAATTGTTTCCAAAGACTCTTTAGCTGGGATTCTGGAATTATATATGTCTGCCTAAATTCAGCCCACCTATCAATTTTTTGAGGCTGAAAAATCTCCATGCTTCATGTGTAATATTTCTTAGTATATCTGGTATTTTTTATGGTTCATGAAGATATTGTCATGTTTGCTTTTAGAAGTTTTATGATTCTGGATTTTATGTTTAAAATTATAGCTGGATTCAAGTTAAATTTGTGTGTATATGAAGACAGGTAAGGAAGCTCATTTCTTTTCTACCTAGTTGTACAGAACCAATTGTGAAAACAGCCCTTCTTTTCAACTGGCTTGAATTTTTATTTAAAAAAATATGTTGTGGAGCTTTACAACGTCGGTGCAGGGGGGGGAAGGGGGGAAGGAGAAGGATTGGGATTGGGGGGGAGGGGGG